ATCATGGTCATTACATATATTCACACAGAAGCTTAATTAAGCCCATGAAACCTCAAAAAAATATATTTTAATTAATTCCCTTAATTAAAGTTTCTAGATTTTCATACTCAACCAAATGCTCTCAAATTAAAGTATGTTAACAAACATGCCAAAACTCAATTTAGAAGCATAATACAATTCAATTTCATGCAAGGTACGGCCATGAACTTTAATCTTTCATAAAAGATAAATATTAATTAAAAGAGCAATTATTATTTAATTAATTCTAATTTAATATATGTTAACCAACATAGTAAAACAAGAGTTTCTACCATGCCACAATTCAAAACCAAGTTTCTCATCATCATGAAAATTAAATCTTATACAAAGAATTAAATATTTCAAATTTCCTAGATTTGATACAAGGCATGCATATAGGTTGTATAAACATGGAAAACACACAGTACAACACATATAAAATCCTAAAACATTCCCTACCTCCATTTGAGATGAAAGACCCATCAAAATAAATCGGCTCCGAATCCGACGAAACTCCTAAGTTTTGTCGGGGACGACACCACGAACATGAATCCCAAGGAAGCCCCATCAAAAACACAACTTGACTTCAAACTCGAACTCAAGAAATGGCCAAAACGAGATTTCAATCGGTTGGAATCGAAGGCCTCGCCGAGGGGAACAATAAACACAAAGGCATCACCACTTTTTAATGAAGGGAAGAAGTCCAAAAGAGGAGAGAGAAGATGGTAGCCATGGATGGAGCTTGGACCGGCCATGAGAGAGGAGAGAGAGAAAAATCTGATTTTTCTTTCTAAGACCTCCTATTTATAGAAAAACTCAAAAAGTGTCCCGAACGGGCCCCGCCGGGTCCGAAAAAGTGGAATTCACGCAGACGCGTTCAAATGGCAAAACTCCGTGAACAAAAAAGATTCCAAATGAGAAAATATGAATAACGGAAGAAACGGCGTCGAAAACTGAGTCCCGAGCAGAGAGTTATGCCTAAAACAAGTTTAGCGCAAACTGGGGCTAGAAACCCTGAAACTGGAAAACATCGTCCAGGAGGAAATTCTAAGAGTCCATGACTCGATGAAATGTGAAAATGAATCCCGTACGAGGATCCAGACTCAAAACAAGGTATTGAGCAATAACTTTCATTAATTGCACAATGACCCTTCCAAAAAGTAAAAACTGCGAAACTGCCCCAGAATGAAAGTATCTTCCAAAAGATATTTTCTTAGATACCCCTGAAATAAAATATCTTCAAAAGATATTTATGAAAAACATCCCAAGAAAAGAAAAAGTTTCCAAAGAACTTTGCATTTATACCCCTATGGACACTGGGAGCAACCAGAGTACTTTATCACGAAAGTAAAGATACGTATCTCATAGAAATCATTGGGAATGAAGATACGTGAAGTCAGAAATCAACTCCGAACACAAGAAGTGTGGTTACGCAAACAAAGTGCCAAACGAGGAAAAGACGAAATAGGGAAAAAGACGGAATAGGGAAAAGGACGAAAAGTGAATAGTGTCGAAAAATGAAACTTGTGGAAATGACTCGGCCCTCAAAAGAAGTTGTCAATCTAAAGAAAAGAGTCTCGGAAATCACTCCAGAGCACTCGAGACGACACTAATCGACAAGAAACCAAACTCAGAAGGGAAAAGACAACGGAAAAAATTTATCCGAAAAATCCGGGTCATTACAACCTTCCCACCTTAAAGGGCTTTCGTCCCCAAAATCCAGCCCAACGAAACTGAAAGCGAAACCAGGATAACTACAGAGTACATCTCCGAGTATCCCTCACAACGCGCTACACCAGCGACCTCGAAGCTGAAAGGAACACACAAACCACTATCAATTGCACCCGCGTGCTCATGACAAGACAACCCCTCAAGGGAAAAGTGACCACATGGCCACACGACAAGTCTGAACTCACACAGAGAACCCAAGGTCAGACAAAAGAACGGAAAACAACAACCGTAAGCGTCCTTCCTGACAAACCATCATAAGGAACCAAAAACAACCACCAAAAGAACTCCAAGATAACCACATAACAAATTAGGGTACAGAACAAACACAACGTGGCAGTACGAATAGCGATCAGAACTCGCCCATGACGTACTCGAATGTGTGGTAGCAATGACAGTATCTAGTGCCTGCCCACACTTACTCGTTAGTAAGGTAGCATCGACGGCAACTAGTACTCGCCTACAACACACAACTTGTACGGTAGCATGACTGTATAAGGCCCTAATTCATAACCTGCCCCCCACTAGGTCTACCCAAGAAACCTTTCGATACAAATGACATCAATGTAAAAAAAATGATCATTGCCAAAAGCACTACGGGGACTAACATTTTGTGAGAGTTGAGATATGGTCCAAAGATGTCTGGCAGACCATCCTAGCCAATCCCAAAACTCTGACAATAATGCTATAGGTACAGCTATGCTTAAGGCCACAAATCCTCAATATAGCAAAACTAACATCTCCAATGTCTCAAAATACCCCTATTAACAACATTAATCAGGAATCCAAAACCTGACAAGCAAATTAACGCCTACAGAAATCAAAACTAACCTCACAATAAGACATTTCATCGAAAGTCCTTCGTATCTCCCTGAAACAGATCAACTACAAAACTACACCGAAATCAAACATCAGATCCTCATCCCTATCATGGATAACTAAATCCTCAAAATACAAATCTACCAAGTGGCACATACATCAAAATGCCTACAACCAAGGTCACAAAATGAATCTCTCAAAACCCTGCTTGGCAACACCAAGCTAAATCAAAATTCTTCAATTTCTATCGATCCATAAACAACCACTGGAACTACGATTCCTCAAAACTACGCCTAGCCATAGCTAGGACGAGAAAACTCCACAAACAGTCATATCGAACAGCGATCCTTCAAAACCCCTCCTAAGAGTCAACAACATCAAGATTTCCAAAACTGAAACAAGTCTCCAAAAGACGTTCTCAAAAGAGCATCGAGCTCACCTCTCGAATCATACGAATCCTCAATGGTATGGACACAAGTCCCCACAAAATGATCTCACACCAATCAACTCACTCTGAGTACCATAGCCGTCAACAACCATGGCAAAAACTCCCCATGGGAAGACACGAAAGAAAGGGAACCACCAGTCCTAAAAAGGATAACTCCACGACTCCATCTTTGTAACGAAAGACAATAAGGCCAAAGACTTCACCCCCTACATGGAAGTAAGTCGACCAAAATCCAACAAATCCTCACCAATGACTCAAGACAATGATGGTGACCCTTACGGATCAGTCAACCCCAAAACTGTACACAACGCAATGAAGAGAAGAGACTCACTCCATGTAAACATGGAAAACACACAATACAACACATATAAAATCCTAAAACATTCCCTACCTCCATTTGAGATGAAATCTCAAATCCCCACCAAAATAAATTGGCTTTGAATCCGAGGAAACTCCTAGGTTTTGTCGGGGACAACACCACGAACATGAATCCCAAGGAAGCCCCATCAAACACACAACTTGACTTCAAACCCGAACTCAAGAAATGGCCAAAATGAGATTCCAATCAGTTGGAATCGAAGGCCTCGCCGAGGGGAACAATAAACACAAAGGCATCACCACTTTTTAATGAAGGGAAGAAGTCCAAAAGAGGAGAGAGAAGATGGCAACCATGGATGGAGCTTAGACCGGCCATGAGAGAGGAGAGAGAGAGAAAAATCTGGATGGAGCTTGGATCGGCCATGAGAGAGGAGAGAGAGAGAAAAATCTGATTTTTCTTTCTAAGACCTCCTATTTATAAAAAAACTCAAAAAGTGCCCCGAACGGGCCACGCCGGGTTTGGAAAAGTGAAATTCACGCAGACGCGCTCAAATGGAAAAACTCTGTGAATGAAAAAGATTCCAAATTAGAAAATGTGAACAACGAAAGAAATAAGGTCAAAAATTGAGTCCCGAGCAGAGAGTTTTGCCCAAAACAAGTTTGGCGCAAACCGGGGCTAGAAACCCTGAAACTGGAAAACATCGTCCAGGAGGAAATTCTAAAAGTCCACGACTCGACGAAATGTGAAAATGAATTCCCTACGAGGATCCAGGCTCAAAACAAGGCATTGAACAATAACTTTCATTAATTGCACAATGACCCCTCTAAAAAGAACTTTGCATTTATGCCCCTATGTTCACCGGGAGCAACCAGAGTACTTTCTCACGAAAGTAAAGATACGTATCTCATAGAAATCATTGGGAATGAAGATACGTGAAGTCAGAAACCAACTCCGAACACAAGAAGTGTGGTTACGTAAACAAAGTGCCAAACGAGGAAAAGACGAAATAGGGAAAAAGACGGAATAGGGAAAAGGACGAAAAGTGAATAGTGTCGAAAAACAAAAAATGTGGAAATAATTCGGTCCTCAAAGGAAGTTGTCAATCCAAAAAAAATAGTCTCGGAAATCACTCCAGAGTACTTGAGATGACACTAATCGACAAGAAACCAAACTCAGAAAGGAAAAGACAACGGAAAAAATTTATTCGAAAAATCCAGGTCATTATAGTAGTAGTGTACAATTGTAGTATGTTACATGTATTTGTTATGACACATGTTAAAAAATGGATGCATGAATGGTAATGCATTATAGTAGTGTAGAAGTAAATTTGATGTGTATATGTTAGGTGAAATGTGTGATACTGTATTTATGAAATGGCTGACATATGTTATACAAAAGTTGTGTTGTCAAAGTAATTTTATGTTTGTCGCCAATTGTTTGCATATCTAGTATACAGCTGAAACATGTTAAATATATTTGTAATGAAAACATATAGTACATGTTAGAAAGTTGTTGCATGAATGGTAATGCATGATAGTAGTGTAGAAGTAAATTTTATGTGGATATGTTAGGTGAAAGACGTGATATTGTATTTATGAAAGCGTTGACATATGTCATATAAATGTTATGCTGTTAAGATATACTTACTTTTTTGTCATGTTTTTGTAGGTCTGCTATTATGGTTATGGCTATTGAAGAGGCAATTATTAATATTGAAGAGACAGTTTGCGAAATTCCTGAAGTAGAATGGATACCCTGCGTTGACATGCAGTTTGATTCCGAAGAAGTAGCTTATGATTTTTACAATGAATATGGTGGGAGAGTGGGTTTTATTATTTGGAGAGAGTACAAAAACAACAGTCGGAAGGATGAAAAAGTAACATCTAGAAATTTTGTGTTTAGCAAGGAGGGAAAAAGAGGTGAGGATAAGAAGGATAGGAAAACAAAGAATCTAAAGGCTGAAACACCCACTGATTGTCGTGCACGCATGCTTATTGCCTTTAATGTGGAATTTGGTAAGTACATTGTTAAAGATTTTAAAGATACTCATAACCATCCCCTCATCAGTGAGGATTGTGCCCACATGATGCCGTCACAGCGAAAAAGCAAGTCAGTGCAAGCTATTGATGTGAAGTTGGTTGCCGATGTGGAATACCCGTTCGTAAAGCCTTTGAGTTAAGTTCGAGGCAAGCTGGTGGTAGAGAAAGTATTGGATTCACTAAGGTTGATGTACAAAATTATATTTGGACGAGAAAACAGAACGACCTTGAACTTGGTGATGCGAATTGGCTGATGAATTATTTCCAGACACAGTGTTTGGAAGATCCATCATTCTTCTATGTCGTGCAATTGGACAGCGGTGCAATGATAACAAATATATTTTGGGCCAATTCAAAAATGATATCAGATTATAGGCATTTTGGAGATGTGGTGACATTTGATACCACGTACAAACTTGTTCATGGGAATTGGCCTTTTGCAGTTTTTCTCTGTTTGAACCACCATCGGGAGACAGTTGTGTTTGGAGCAACTTTCATGTATGATGAGACAACCGATTTTTTTGGTTGGTTATTCAATACATTCTTGAATGTCATGTCCCATAAAACACCAAGGACGATTTTGACTGACCAAGACGCTGCAATGGCAAAAACATTAGTCCAGGTTATGCCCGATACAAAACACCTTCTATGTACATGGCACCTAATACAAAATGCCCAAAAGCATCTTGGGAATTTGTCTGTTGGTGGGAAAGGCATAAAAAGTGTGATATCAAAATTAATATACGAGATTGAGGGAGAGAAAGAATTCTTGGTGGAATGGACGTGGATGGAAAAGGAATTTGCTATAGAGAATAACAAGTGGTTGGCCAACTTATTTGGTTTGAAACATGTATGGGCTAGGGTATACGTCAAACATGTATGGTCTGCTGGTATGCGTACTACACAGCTTAGTGAGAGCTTCAATGCTCGCTTAAAACAGTACTTAACGAGACAATATGCACTACCAGAGTTTTTCAAGCATTTTGAAACGCTGTTGTTCGACAAGCGATACAAGGAGTATGCAACTGAGTATGACTTGCTCCATAAGATATCCAAGCTAAAAGCAAGGTCTCCTATTTTAGATCAAGTCGGACGTCTGTACACTACTAACATCTTTGACCTTTTTCAGGAACAGTTAATAGTAGCTGACATGAGTGAAAATGTCCGTAAGTGCAACGACCTTGGTAACGGGGTTTTTTCATATGAAGTTGCGGTTTATAATGATAACTTCCTCGGCTCGTCACAAGGACACATGACGACTTATTATCATGTTCATGTGGAAAAATTGAAATGGAGGGTATCATGTGCAGCACACTCTGAAAGTCCTTAAAGATGTGATGTATGCCAATGAAATATCTAGCCGCTATATTTTAAAAAGGTGGACCATAAATGGTAAGGACGGTAGGGTGGAAGACATATTTGGCAGCGATGTTATTAGAGATCCTAAATTGGAAATTAGGCGATGACACATAATCCTTTGTTGTTATCTAACAGAAATTTCTGCCATTGCATCAATGAGTGAGGAGGGATTCAACAATGTTTTGGTGCAGGTGAAAAGTTTGAAGAAGATTGCTCAAGGAGCAGAACCTAATCCCAGGCCTGCATATAAACAAAGTGCGCGAGCCAATGGCATGGGAAACAACATTACAAATATAGAGCTGAATAGTCATGCGCAAACCATAGAAGGATTGACTCTAAAAGGGATTGCCACAAAAGATACATTGAAAGGAAGAAGGCGTAGGTTGATACCTGCTTTGGAGAGAGCCACTGCGAAGAAGAGAAAGGCTGTTGTGCCAGGTCGCAGTCGTACTACAACAACCCCTATGTATATTTTAAACAATGTGAGTCTTGTTTTGTGTTTCACATATCCCCTACCCGATATATAGTCTAACGTACTAATGAATTGATGATTTTTGGTGAAGGGTGCTGAAATACCAGTAGAGTTTTTCTGCTCCGATGAATGTTATATGCCAACATATTCAACACAGGGCCACGATTGGGATAACAGTCCGGCTACTTATTTTGGTCAACCCATGACTCCATTAAATAACCAGGTATGTGTTGTCATCTAAATTAATTAAAGTCATGAAATTAATTAAGAAATTTAACGAGCTGTTTTTGCATGCATGTGATATAAAAAGGGAGTTGATGTAGATGTTGTATGTGACACAAATTTCTCGCCAATCATCCAAATGCCAAACATGAATTCTACATTTGAGCAACAAGGGTTATAGGAATTACCATGATATGGTAGTAGGATATAAAAAATGTATTTCATCGCGTTTTCGTCGTTATTGCCATGGTTGCAATTCCTTTATTTTGCTCAGTGCTCAAGATATTGTAAGGGTATTACTGTACATGATATCTTCTACTCCAGTAAATTCGTTATGTTAAAAATATTGTATTTAAGTCAGAACTGCACTTCCCTTTTTATATTGAATACTTTATATTTGATCATTTATTCCTTGCCTTCATTGCAATTAAATGGTTTATTTAGAACATTAAAGACCCTACTTATTATTTTCAATCTACATGATACCTCAGATCTATATTTAGGGCATCTGTATCTCCATAGCAGTCATTCTATCCCATTTTTAAATTGAAAGCCCTTCAAAGTATAAACAATGGTTGGCCGTCAGTTTTACATTGTAGTGAAGGGCCGGAATGTTGGTATATACACGAAGTTGGCGGAAGCAAAGGCACAGACACGAGGGTGTGCAAGGTATTATCCATACAAAACTCATGCAGAAGCTATTCAAGCCCTAGGTAGATAGAATGCCCACTTCCATGGTGAACTGTTAAACATGGATGGTGCGGTAGAAGACGATATTGAAGTTGTGGAAGGCAATCTACCTCCATATCCGCCTGATCCAGAAAGTGAGCGACGACATCGTATTAGGTATAATGAGTTAACAAATGCTAGGGGTGTAATTGTGGCAGAGTGCAGAAAACAAGGTCTCTCAATTCCAAGACCCCATTCACTTGAAATGAAGCTCTCAGGTACCTTAAATATGGATTCCGTGATTGGTCAAATCAAATGCGAGATCCGGCAACTATATGTGAGATGGCGTAAGTTCCAGAAAGTGAAACATGCTAAAGAAACATACAAAGATCCGGTAGAACAGTTGGCCACCATCTTCAATGACCAAGACCTAAAATCAGATTCAGACATGTCTAATTTTTCAGACCCAACAGATGATGACTTTGTAATTCACCTCCAAGATATAGTAGAAAGAAATAATGTAAGTGAATGTAACAATATTATTTCTGGAATTATACCTTTATTGTAATAGTTATTTTCTAATTAAATTACTGGGAATAATATCAAAACGATTTCATATGTTTTGTCGTAATTGATTTATATGTACTATAGGAATGATTTCGTAATAGAAATCAAAACAAAAATTACCATTCAGAGAAAATTTTATTTTATAATGCACACGTGTACAGTTCGAGAACATAAATGAACTTTAAAAAAACGTATTAATGATTGAGACGTGGGAACTTCCATCTTACCCTTCTAATGTAAGTGGATGTAACAAATTTTTTTTTTGGAGTTGGACCTTTATTGTAATAGTTATTTCATAATTAAATTACTGGGAATAACATCAAAACGATTTCATATGTTTTGTCGTAATTAATTTATATGTACTGTAGGAATTATTTCGTAACAGAAGTCAAAACAAAATTTACTGTTGAGATAAAATTTTATTTTATAATGTACATGTGTACAGTTCGCGAACATAAATGAACTTTAAAAAAATGTAGTAATGATCGAGATGTGGGAACTTCCATCTTACCTTTCTAACCGTTGTTATATTGAAATGTTTTGACTTTTTAACTGCCCTAGGCAAAGTTTAAACGGTAAATTCATTTATATCACCATATCCAGTCGCTGCATGTATTCGAAAGCCATGGATTCTGTTCTACAGACTGCGATTAAAGATGTGGTTAGACAAGTTGCGGCTATAGCTTTTACAAACAGTGCGGAGGAACATACATGGTGAGTTATGTTTCAGTTTATACTTTACAATTTACATGCATTATCGGGTTATGGGTCTACATTACTAAAGTGAGGAATATGGGTGTTCTTCGTTTAAAATGTAGGGAAATGACAGAACTAGGCACTGGACCATGGACGACGGGTCTACAGCGATACGATGCAACAATTGAATTTCTTGCACGTAATGGACTAGATGAAAGTATCCCAGAAAGACGTATGTACTTGGAACAATGTTTTCAATCTAGGGATTATGTTGCAAAGTTTTTTCGGGGAGTGGTATGTTTACTAAGATCATGTGTACTCTTTTACGCATTACACTTTATTTATTTGTAAGGTCTAACATGCAAAAAATTTACACAGGTTGATTGGATTTTTACAATGAAAAAATAGGGTTGGCTTTCCTCCGTAGAAATGGTTACCCGTCCCTCTATCCTATGTTTATTGTATTATTGTTTTCCAGTGAAGCGGACAAAGAGGCGGGGATTAATTTGTTAACGTTGTTGAGGACAAATTCAATACTGAGCCCTTCTATCAAGTCTGCCCGTAGAAAGATGTTAACAATTATTCAGAAGATTTCTTCCGGTAATCGGTCATTCTTTACGCATGTTCTAAAATGTTGTCTCGAAGGCAACCATATTGATTGGCATTGCTGGATCCTAAACGAGGATGTCATCAATTGTAATCGTTATTGATGTGATTTAAATATCATGGTGTTGCAAGGTCGTACATAATAAGATGTAAACACTTTTTGTATATTTTGAACATTAGGTACATATAATGTATTTGAAAATAATAATATATTTTCTGAATAATTTTAGAATACGGGTTCGGGTTGCTAGCATTTAAATCCAAACCTAACCCTAATTATATATGGGTTCATATTTTACAACACAAACCCAACCATAATTGTGAAATATCGGGCTATAAAGGAAATTTTTACTTTATCTATTATGGAAATTTTGACTTTATCTATAAAGGAAATTTAAGGAATTGGAAGACTAAAAGAGAAAATAAATATAAAATTTTAGGAACTACAAAATTGAGGGGGGCACTGTAGAATTCTTTTCATATATATGGATAAAATTTACCACTTATATTATAGCCAAACATAGCTTAACCACCTAACTACATATTCGT